GAATTTTCCGACTGTACTAGCCAAAATTTGCTGCAGTTCTTTGTTTAGATGCAAATGCAAATTATTTTCAAGATGGAAAGAGTATGTTTTATATGATCTAAATACTTTAGATAGCATGCATTGGTCCATTAATTTACTCGGTAATTCATAAATGTACGCAGTATTCGCTTCCGACGGCACCTCTTATCTTAATATTACTAATATTCTGTTGTTTATGTACCGGTCTGATGGCACTTTTCTGGTGGTACACAGTATTCTTCTATGGACAGCAGCGTTCTATTGCATTGATAGTTTTACTTTTTGGTAAGTTCTCCATACTTATTGGTGCTCTCGGTGGCAATTATTTCAAATTTTCATCATGGTTGGTTTAGGTATGGCTTTAGTAAATTCCACTTCGAATGTTCTTTTTATGCCATATATGTCCTCCTGCAACATGTCCTATTTGACAGCATACTTCGTCGGCATGGGATTGAGTGCCCTGTTTCCTAGTCTTATATCTCTTTTGCAAGGCAAGTGCGTATTGTTATTTGTTTTTGCTCTATTCGCTAAACAGTGTTCATTAGTGCCTGTGTGACCACAGACTGCTTTTATAAGAGGATTTGAATGAATGTAAGACAGCAGTAGGTTACAAAAATAACTGGCACTGAATTGATTACGAGGATCAATTACACGTTTTCTACATTACCAGTTCAGAATAGAACTTTACACGGAGTAAAGTAAAATAAAGCAGGAAATGTAATATTGGTAGTAGAAAAGCATAAAAAATATTTTATCAGGCTTACTGAGGAAAAATTTCAGCAGCGGCAGTCTGTAAAAGTTGTTCTTTAAATTTTTTTTACAAATTACTGAGCTAGTTTGAGCATTAGTCCCACTCCAAACTTCCACTATTTTATTTGTGAATAATTTGCCCCAGATTTGTTACATATTAAGATGTTTCGATCTAATAATGATTTATCTTTGTAAAATGCAAAAGGTCTTAAATTTCAAAAGTTGTTAGTGGGCTGTCAGTCTTGCGTAAAGTCTTATGAGGCTGATGTGGTGAAAACACCTCGACCGCTTATGGAGTCTAGTTACAATTTATTTAATTTACTCTGGTTGAAAATAAATTCTAGCTGTTAGAACATAGAAATTTCACGGTGAAATGGTTGTGAACAGATTCAAAACGTTTCTGTGGTTGTTTATTTTGCAAGTTATATCCAGTTCAAAGTTTATTTTTGGTAAGATAAACATCTTGTAAAGGTGCATAAGCGACTTAGCTATGCTGCTTTCAAAGTTTCAAAAATAAACTTTATGGCTGGGGAGATCTTTCAAAGAGGTGCAGGCGGTGTTAATTACATTGTGATTGATGTATGTTTTAGAAATAAAAAAAATTCCAAACATTCTTCGTTTTTCTTAGAGATTAACTCGGAGCTAATTTGGTTGACTAAATTTTTATCGTTTTCAGGTTCAAGCGATGAATGTGTATATGTTAATGGTTCACTTACGAAGGAGCCTGTACCACCAAGATTTGGAGTAAGTGAATATAACCTAATAATGCTCGCATGGTTGATTACGGCAACAGTATCGTTCGTTTTGCTTCATTGGTCACCTTTGGGTAAAGAGGGCTCATCTGAGCAAAAACCTACCGATTCAAGACCTGAACTACCTGTAGATGAATCGTGTCCGTTAAATGTCCGGTTTACTCTTCGTTTTTAGTCCTTTATTTTTATTGTTTTTTCTTTGGTTAGACTAACAGTTTTTTGAAAAGTGTTTGGGTTTTTTCTCTATTTTAACCCTCATCTTTGTAGAGGTACGCCGATATGAGTGCAGAAGAAAGAAGGACAAGTAAAATGGAATCGTGTCGTTTCGGTTTCTTGCTTTTCCTTACAGCTATAGTGAACGCTCAGATGAATGGCATTGTTCCAAGCATACAAAGCTACGCTGCTCTTCCTTACTCACAGGTGCAATCTATATGGCTTATTAGAATGGTTTCCGCCGTATTAAATGGGGTTGCTAAGTATTTCAAAAAGATCCTTTACTTTTCATCTTTATTTTATTGCTCGTACGTTAATACTTTTTCTTTTTTTTTTCAGTCTTTTTTATAAAGTTTTGGTATTCTTTTAAATAACTATGTTTTTAGGCAACTTATCATTTTGCCTTAACTTTGTCGAATATTGCTTCTCCGTTAATTTGTTTCCTGCCGCTGTTGATTGAACCAACCCGTGTTTGGTCACTGGCTTCATTGACATTTTTATCTTCTGCACTAACAGGCGTAATAGTTGTTTTAGCAAAGATGAGTCCTTCTCCTGTTCTCCAATACTCTATCTGGGGAAAAGTTATGTTGGTAAGTCGTTTGGAGCTATTCATGAGGAAAGCTAAAACTAGACTCAAAGGTCAACCATGTTCTATAAATTTTGCTTTTTTATCATCAGACTAGCTAAAAGTTACAGGTTGTTCTGTCCGTTGGCGGATCTGCTTTACACTCATATCTAAGAACAGTGTTTGCAACTGTTCTCCAGAAGGGAGCAGAAAATAGTGAATCAAGACTTTTTTGGTGTGGAGTCTTCATACAGGTAAAA